CCACACCTTTCTACACAATGCAGCCTGCGTAATGCTGAGCTGAGTATCTGCGCATTCTTCTTCTTGTTGTTTTTTGTTGTTTTTGTTTGTTTGTTTTTCTTTTTGTTTTTTGTGTTTTGGGTTTTTTTTTTGACTTCACCTTCTCTGAATGTCCTTCAAGCATTATGTCAATCCCTCAGTAAATTGGCAACATTTTCTCCAATACATCCAGGAGAGGAGAAGTTCCTCTATGTGCTACTGGTCTGTTCCCAACTGCTCTTCCAAAATACCTACGTATTAACAGTGCACGTAAGAACGCTTGGTATCTGCAAAAGAAAAGTGCAGAGTCTTATGATCTTTATATACCCATTGCTCCTGATATGTCTCAGATGGTTTGCTGTGTTCTACCTAACCTCCCTGCTCCTCTGCCATGAAGAAGCCCTCTGGAGAGACAATGGACCAGCGGTTAAAACATTCGTCCCAATGCAAGAAATGAAACCTCCTCCTTTGCTGTTCCCCAGGCTTCTTATGGCCAGGGCCGGGATCTTCAGCATTGGGCAGTTCCTACTTGTGCAGTCAGGCCACAGCTGCTCTTTTCTGCCCCTGAAGTTCAGGCCAGATCTCCAAAGGGACTGTAGAAAAGTAATGGACAGTTATTGCAGGCTGCGGTCAAGCAAAAGGCACGAAGGAGGACGTTGGAAGCCTCCTTCTCTTTGCCCAGCCTTGAGATCACTACTACATCAACTGTCCCTCAGCAAAGAGGAGGTGTCCCTGATGATCTGCTGCTGCCATCCACATCTATGCCAGACAGAAGTGCTGCACCCACCCCTGCAGAGGGAGGGGGAGGGACCTGCTACCCACCTGTGCCTGCTTTGCTCCAGGGACTGCCTGGATGGAGACAGGAGCAGGCACAGACAGAACACCTGAACCCCGGTGTCTGTCAGTCTCTCCCCACAGCTGCATTTTCTCTCCCTTCTCCCCACAGACAGGGGAGGTTCTTCAAGAGAAAGATCTCTGTGAACAGCACCTGCTGCAGAAACCCCCATCCAGAGACAGACACAGTCCCTCACTCCAGCAGCAGGATGACAACCCAACACAACCCTAAGCTATACAGCAGCCCTTCTCTGCCCTTATGTGCACGTACGCACGTAAACAACCTCTGGCAGCCTGTGCTACCCTGACCTCAGCTCTCCGCTACCCAGGCAAGCACAATGAAAACCCCTTTTTAATCCCTTCCAATGAATGCCAGGAGGATTCAGCTTGCAGCGCTCCTTTACTACGCTGCTCGGGACCTTTGCTAGCACAGTGAAGAGCAGCTGTAAAGCTTCAGTTGTCAGCACAGCACCTCCCATTCACAGCCCTGCTTCCACATAGCCTTCAGGATCACGTTGCTCAGCTGAGGTTGTGGCAAAAGGGATGGGAAGCCCAGCTGACAGAGGGCACAGGGATGAATCTTTCCTGGCTCCCTCCCTGGACTCAGGCAGGTTGGGTGCTACTTTGGGCCTGGAAAGGCCGCAAGGGCCCTGACTGTCCAGCAGCGCTGCCCCTGCCCTTACCCCTTCACGAGGAGCACCCAGCAGCCCCTGCCCCAGAAGGCAGGAGACATGGGGACGCAGAGTTATTACAGCAGCTGGGCTCTGGGGCTGCGCGCAGGGAGATTCAGGTAGCTCCGGCTACTGCACGTGTGATTAACTTAGCAGCAGTGGGGACGGAGGGCCCTGCTCCTCTGGCATTCAGAAAAACTCCCTAGATTTGGCAGCTGGAGGGTCTTTGGGCCCGTCAGCTGCAGGCTGCTTACTTCCTTCAGCTTTCATGGACAAGGCCAGCAGACAGGCAACCACTGAGGAGTCATGGCTCCTGGAGTCTCTCATGCCCTGGATGGCCATGAAGATGGTGTCTGTCCTCGCTGAGGGGGAGAGGTGTTTCCCAAACATCTGTGGGAGAGAGGAGGAGAGAGAAGTCACAGTGCCCTGAGCGCCCCGTCAAGGGTGCTTGGCTAAGAAGTGAGAGCAGCTCCGGAGAGACATGGTGGGCAGTGCTGGAGCAGTGCCTCCTGAAGGGGTTGCACTGGACTGCAGCACGGCCCTGTGACCTTCCTCCTCCCAGCCTCCCCAGGCTCTCATTCCTTTTCCCATAGCTCGTGGCTCTGGACAAGGCTCTGGACAAGGAAAGCAGAATTTCCTGGTGGCCAGGGGCTGGTGCTGCTGCTGTGCCCTCAGGTCAGCTAAAGCATGTTGTCTAGAAGTATGTCCAGACAGGTTTTGACTGGCTCCACAGATGAAGACTCCACGACCTCTCTGAACAACCTGTTCCAGTGTTTGACCACCCTCACAGCAAAAAGGTTTCTCTTTGTGGTCAGCTGGAACGCTGTGTGTGTTAATTTTTGCCCTTTGCCTCTCTCCCTGCCGGTGGGCACTACTTGAGAAGAGCCTGGCCACGCAAGACAGAAGGTCTCCACTCGCTGGTCCCCCTGGAGCTGGGGATGCACTGTGCTGCCCTTTGGTGACGTGCTGCCTGGAAAGGAGGGGCAACATCAATAGGAATGATGGAGAGCTTGGGATGGCAGACTGAAGGCATCAGGGAGGAATCTGACTGGCAGAGAAAGAGGATCCCTTATGCACATGCCCCTAGGCTGATGCCACACAGCTGCTTCCCTGCACCCCTCAGGAAGCTCTCAGGGGTACCCAGGTGGGGTACACCTCAGTGCTGCCAGAGCAGGGAGGCAGCAGGGCTGAGGGAGCTGGCTTAGGGACAGCGTGCAACAAATGTGGGTAGTGGTGGTTCCAGGAAAGCAAGCCTCCTGGGAAGGCGAGGCTGCGGGCAGCCTGAAAACACTGCCGACTGCCAACTGGACTTGGCAGGAATCACAGTGAAGTCAGAGCATGCCGTTGCAGCTTCTCCAGATGAAAGGCTTCATCTGGCAAATGCCAAACTGTTTTGCCAGCATGCTTGCTTATAAGGAAATGCTGATCGGAGCAGAACCAGTGGGTGGTTTCCCCTGTGTAGTGATGATGGCGTTCCCCTTCTCTTCCCGAGGCCATGGGGCCCTGAAACTACGTCTTCTGCATCTCAGCCAAGGCCAAACGGTTGGGAACCGCTGTTTCCAGGCAGTCCCTCATTTGAGGCTTGGAGGGGGAGCTTACGCCACGGCTGGATTCCTGTAGTGCTGCTGGGGGGGGGATCCTCGGCCTTTCCAACGTTGGTGCCGTTTTCTGGTGCCATTGGCTCCAGCCCTGATGTTCACCACCTTCCTCCTCCCAGCCTCCCCAGGCTCTCATTCCTTTTCCCATAGCTCCTGGCTCTGGACAAGAGCCAGGCGGGGGAGAGGGCTACCCCATGACTACAGACCAGCAGAATCCTGTAGCCTCAAAGCTTTTACATGAGTCAGGAGCGAGGGCCCTGGGAAGCAGCTCAGCCCCTCGAGGCTGCCTGGAGGCAGCATGAAAAGAGTTGGCCTGGGTTCAGGGTTGTCCTCAGTGAGAGCTGAGTGCTGTGGCCCTGTCCGTGTCCCCTCAGACAACGAGGGGCTGAGACTGTGTCAGTGCCTGGCACTGTCGTGGCGGGATGTCACTGCAGGCCTTGGAATGCTTGGGCCTGGGCGTGAGGTCACGCACAACTATGTACGCTCACGCATGCACTAACACGTGCCCAACATGCCCAAGCGTGCACAAAGATACACACCGATGCACAGACACAAGCAAACGTGCACAAGGACACAGACACGTGTAGTTGCATATAAGTACTGACACCCGTGCAAAAAAATACACACCTACACAGAAACGTGATGTCACCAGAGGCACGCAGGTGTGTGTACACACAAGCATACAAGCACATAGATGTGCATGCAGATGATCGCACAGACTGGTACACGATCACGCTCCCACGCACGTTATTGCAGCTAAGCACATGGGGGCAGGGGTGATGGGAAGGGATGTGACTGAGGAGCTGCTGGGGACCTCCCTGCCAGAGCAGGGGTGGGGCACTCTAAGCAGGACAGATGCACAGGCAGCACTGTTAAAGGAGTCTCAGGGACTGTCCAGAGAGAGGAGGAGGCCAAAGAGGTTGGCAATTCCCTCCTGAGGGCAGCTTAAGGCGAAAGAGAGGTGAAAACCTGAAGTGCAGCACGCCTGCCTGGGAAGGCAACAGCCACTGACTGTTGGAGTCAGCTGAGAGGGAAGGAAAGAGGAGGGCAGGCCACATACTCACAGGAGCCCCTGTTTGATGAGCCAATAATTGCAGGGCTGAGAGGAGCTTGGGCCCTTCCTGTCAGCAGGCTCATAAAAAAAAAAAAACAAAACCACCAGAGTGCCCCACTTGACATCACCTGCCTCCGCTGGAACCCTCTGGCACTCAGTCCGTGTCTTCTCCCCGCACTGACGCATCCTTGCCCCAGAAATCATAAGGCCTGTCACCCCAGGAATACAAGCATCCGTGAGGGAATGAGCATGACAAAACAAGGAAATGCAAAGACAGCGTGGAGGGAAACAGCAACACGTGCCATGTCATTACCTGGGATGTTTCCGTTCATTAGGAGCATACAGGAAAACTGATGCTTAGGCAGCAGCTGCCTTTGGGCCTGAGGCAGTGTGAAGACAATATAAAAGCCAGCCCAACTTGTCGCTCTCTCAACCACTTCTGCCACCTCCTTCTCCTTGGGAACCAGGTGAGTTGGAAGCCCCTTTCTCCTCCACCTCTTCTAGGACGGGGTCATGCCTTCAAGGACAACTCAGCTGATACCTGCTCCTTCATCTTATGTTTGTGCTCTGAGATCGTGGTCACGGCAGAGGGCAGAGGAGAGATGGTCTGGTCTGTCACGGAGAGAGACTGAGGCTGGGATGAGGTGGCTCTTTGCTGCAGGCTAGTCAGGAGCATCCCTGGGCCTGGCTGCTAACCGAAGGGCCCCGCTGGGCTCAGGCAAAGAAGCCCTTGCTCCCCCCTGCGCAGCTTCTACCTGCCTACCCGGCAGACGCTTTGGTTTCCTTTAGGTGGGGTTTCCGGCTGTTCCTCAGGTGTCCCTGTGCTCTGTTTCCTCCCTGCCCTCTCTCCTAGGTGCACCTCTGGCCCAGAGACATGTCCTGCTACAACCAGTGCCAGCCCTGCTGCTCGCCCTGCGGCCCGACCCCGTTGGCCAACAGCTGCAATGAGCCCTGCGTCAGGCAGTGCCAGAACTCCACGGTTGTCATCGAGCCCTCTCCCGTGGTGGTGATATTCTGCGGCCCCATCCTCAGCTCCTTCCCACAGAACACCGTTGTGGGATCCTCCACCTCCGCTGCTGTTGGCAGCATCCTCAGCTCTCAGGGAGTGCCCATCACCTCTGGGTGCTGTGACCTCTCCTGCATCACCAGCCGCTACTGTGGCAGCAGAAGGTGCCCCCCTTGCTAAAGCCCCTGCTGACAATCCAGACAAGGAGCCCCGGACACCCAGAAGATGATGCCAGGCTGAATGACGGAGATTGTGGCCATTGCGCTGAGAGGGGCTGAGCAAGCCCCCCTCTCCCTGCAAAGGGTGTCAGCCCTTTGCAAGGGGCCAGCCTGTGCTCTCTGAAAGCATGGCCAATGCCTCTCGTTCCCTTCCTCCCCTTTCTCCTTTCCCTTCTTTTCCTGTGTTGTTTTCTGCTCCCCTGGACCATGAGGCCCACCAAAGCCAGCCTGGGGGGACCTGCCTGCCCCTCTCCCTCTGTGGGGCACTGACTTTTGCCTGCCCGTCCTTTCACTGTGGCCTCCTCTCGGAGACATCTTGTTTCCCTCTTTAGACTCATTAAACTCTGCTGCATCCCAGCCTCTGGCTCTGTGTGCTCGTTTCCTCTCTGGATGCTCCTTAAAGCTGTCCAGCGAGAAAGGAGATATGCTGGGAGGGAACAAATGGCTGAGCAAGTGGACCCTTTCTCATTCCTAGAGGAATGCGAGGGCAGGACACACCGTCTGTGCGCCTCCTTCAGTCCCTGTCCCTTGGAGCTGAGGACGACATCTCTGGCTACTCCACAGTCACTGACCATCAGCCCTTCCCTTGCTGCATCTCTGCCCAGAAATATTCCCCTTGGCCTCAGAGCACGCCCTACAGATGGTGGTCCCAACTTGGGCTGTCTTCATGGGAGCACCCCAGTGCTGCAGGAGGCCCTGGGAGGTCAGCAGCCCCACAGGCACTCAAGGCAGTTCCTCTTGCTCTGGATGGAGCTGTGCTGGGCGAGAAGGCTCAGAGAGAAGACGGCCGTGAAGGATGGAAGGAGGGGAGGGGAGGAGAAATCACCTTGGCTAGAGCCCAGAGCCTCCTCCTCCTCACCTTCCCACCCCTCTCCAGAAGGACGGGGCATGGCAGCCATCCAAGAGCAATGACAGCTAAGGCAAGTCCCCTGTTCTTCTGCCACACCCATACAGTGCCCCGTGCAGCCCAGCGGCTGGTTACACAGATTTGCAGGGCTGAGGTGTCGCACAGATTGCACATCCCCAACTGCCGGCAGACACAGCAGCTCCACGACAGAAAGCTTATTCGCATGGGCCTGCAAGATGACACAGAAGAGCGACGGACAGTTCCTCCCATGGTACTCTAGAGAGAGTACTGATCAGAACAGCCCACGCTCTCTCGTTGCAGCTGATGGCAGGTGCAATCCCATCCTGGGGCGCAGGGGAAGAACAGTTGCATGGCAGGAGCTCTCTCGCCACCTTCTCCTTTTCCCTGGGGCCACTAACCCCAGCCCCTCACAGAAAGAGGATCTTTGCCTGCAGGTCTCTGGCTGCATAGGGGAAACAGGGCTGCCAGGGGAGCACTGAGGCCCCTTTCCCCAGAGCTCCGCCTTGCACAGAAGGGCCTCCTGCCAGGACGACAAGAGAGGAGAAGGGTACTGTGCCCCTCCTCCTCCCTCCCACCTCTCCTGAAGCCTACAGCTCATGTGGCTCGAACGAAAGCTGGGACTACAAAGGCAGCTGAGATCTTCTGCACTGACCTGTCTCTGAAACATTGAGAGTGGATGGGATGGGAAAGAGAGGCAATGAGGGATGGGTGGTTGGGGAAAGAAAAGCTGTAAACCTGCCACTAGTGCAACTTCCCTCCTTCATTCATGGCTCTTCTATGTCCTCCAGCCCCAAGCTGCGTGGTGGGATGCGGGATGGGGGTCGTGGTCAGTACGCAACAGTTCCTTTCTGCCACTGTTTCCTCCTCAGGCTTCTCCTCTGCTCCAGCACGAGCCCTTCCCAT